ATGTAGTTTATGAATGCAATTATACAGCATGCTTGGAAAGTTTAGGACAATATTTTTTCTACTTTGTAAGAATGTCCTTCCATTTTCCTTATCCATCTCCCTCATCATTTCTCCACCCTTATCTCACTCACGGAGGTTCATGCATATAACCTAGCTAGATCTGAGAAAATTTAAAAATGATGAGAACTAGTAATATGATCTTAAAAACTGAAAAAGATATAAGGAATGAAGTATTTGGAGACAATGTACAGAGAGAATTATTCTCAAAAAGAATGATATGAAGTGACAGAAAACCATCTCCTAACTCTGGGTTTATCCTGAAGGATGTGACCGTGCACACAGGTGGCATGATGTGTATTCTCTGAAGCTGGGCAGTGAGGGGCCTGGTGTGTGATTCACACCAAAGAAAACCCAGAGAAGCCTGGAACAGCAAGCTCTTCCAGTTACTCCTGGGAAAACACTATGGTCTCCCCCAGTGGTGGCTACAACACGGGACACCATTCACAACCTACAGAGCAGACATCAGACCTGGAGTTGTTTTAGCTTCTGTCAGAGAGCACCTCTTGAAAAATCTTCTGTCCGAGAGCACCTCTCCAACAGCACCAAGTGGACCCAAATAAAACCTGAGGCGAAGTACAGGAGGTGAAAGGGAATCCCTCTCACTTGAAGAAGACTGTGAAGGAGAAGACTGAAGAAGACTGCCCACGGAGGAGGCCTCAGAAGCTCTAGGGCGTGACAGTGCCCTAGAAAAAGCCAGATTTATACATTTACCAGTCGCAGAGAGCACAGAGCTCCCCTGCTACAGGGCCTGTCAGGTAAGAACTTTCTTCTGTGCTATTCTCCATCCTGTGGGGCTGAATTCCTGGAAAAAAAGCAGCTTGTGGGTAGAAGTGAAATGAGCCAAGCAAGAAGCAAACTGGCAAGGGTTCATTCCTGCTGAGGGAAGGACTTAGAAATCAGACTGTTTGCCGTACAATGACTTTGTGGTCATGTACGAGTTTTCACACAGAGGCATGGCAAGGACATCCCAGAATTAATTAATTTTAAGGAACTATTAAGAGATTAAAATAAAATTGAGTTCTGACTATCCCATAAATCATTCTTATTTATGGTACCTATATGAATCCTTTAAAATACTATAATTCTCTGCATTCTCCCTCCCTCCCCTCAAATTTTCTTACCCCAAAAGGAAATATTTGAAATCTTTAAAAGGTTTTTCTCTCTTAGCATGAGCCTAATGCAACTCTTAAATTTGACTGAAATTAACTGACCTTTTCTATTGCAAACTATTATTTGAATATCCTCACACAATCTATCTGTTTTATTTGTGGGACCTTTATTTAGGTCTCTTATTGTAAATGGTCAAGCTTAAATGGCCATCTGTGATGGTCTCTGCTTACCTCTGTTTCTTCTGTTAACTCTGTCTTTCACCCTCCTCACTACTCTAATTTATCTGCTCTTTGGTGAAATAAATGTCTTTTCCATTTCCTCCAATTTAGGAAATAGTGATGTATTTTCTAAAAATACTTAATCTTTCCCTCACATTGGCACATGGAGACCAGCTCAGGTGGTCACAGGAGTTTTGCATTACCTTCCTTTTCCACCCAGAACTGTACAGATAAGACTATACATAATTTTAGCTAATCATTGGAAATATCTGGGGAGCTAAAACAATAATTATTGGTCTTATACCTAGAGATGCTAATTGAATTTATCCAGAGTGAAGCTTAAGTGGTATCAACAATTCTAAAGCACCCCAGGTATGTCAGTCCAATTTCCCTCCCTATTAAAAAACATCTGAACAAATCAATTTGTAAAAAGGAAAGATTGATTTTGGCTTATGGTGTCAGAGGCTTTAGTAAATGGTAGGCTGGCTCTGTTGTTGGGTCTACGACAGGGCAGCACATCACAATAAGAGCACCTAGCAGAGGATGCCTGTTTACTTCAAAGTGAACTAAGAATCAAACAGAGAAAAGAAAGAGCCAGGGTCCCAACATCTCTCCAAGGACATATTTCTAACTTCCTCCTTGGCACTACCTCCTTAAGGTTCTACTACCTCCTGGTAGTACAATGGACTGAAGATTAAGCCTTTAGCATATAGGGTTTTGTAGGACATTTACCATCCTCACCAGAACACCTGAAGATTGTAGCCAAGAATGAGTCTTGTGGATATTATTCTACTGTGGTGCTATTCTATTGCTGACATTACTTTAGTGTGTTCAGCGTGGGAGATGAGAAATCCTATTACAGTCTGATAGTTCCAACCCTACAATGTGTGTGCTCCTTCTACATAGACTCTTTAATATTTCATCTTTATGTTACAAATTTCCTTACCTAGGGATAAGTTTGCTATACATCCTATTAATATTTGAGACATCATTTAATTAGGCTTTCTTCAACACAGGAACATTTTTTCTGTTATTTATCTAAATAGTGCCTTCACTCTATTACTCCTTTTTTGTCTTTCTAGAACTTTTATGTTATTTCTACCACCATTTAACTATTTCCTTGTAGCTTCCATCCTTATATATTTTGTTCTGTGATCCTTAATCTTTTTCCCACAATGTTATGAATTCAGTAACCAAAAGTGAATATCTTCTCTTTCTATTGACATGAAGGAGTTTTAAATGTGAAGATGGTATAATTTTTTGTCCATGAAGACTGTGATTGAGTTTATTAAATCCTTTCCACTATTTATATTTTCAAATGTCCAGCTCATGTGCCATCTCAGGAGCCATCTCAGGAGCCTGGTCTTTCTGTTGAGTTCTCTTAGTTGAGTTGTAATTTTCTGAGTTCTTTGCATTGCAGCTAGAATCTGTTGCAGAACACCAAAAACAGCAGTCCCATGTGGGATGGCCTCTGTCAGTGTGGCCTGACAATGTTGTCTTCTCCTATGATCAAAAGTCTCTCTGTTTCCTAGTGCCCTTGTAGCACCAATCTTCAGGGATAAGAAACTCATCCTACCTTTCCAGCTATTCCTTACCTCATGAAAAGTTAAAGAAATGAAGCAAATTCAGGTAGGATTCTTAGCCTCTTTATTTTCACTCTTATTGAGTTCCCCAAACCACTGCTCTGCTGAAGCAGGATCACTTTATGCTAAGCAGATGACCCATAGCCTTCAGATATTCATCACAGGTTTCTTTAACCTGGTGGCTGCCATTTTTTCTCTCCCATCCTGAGAATGGAAATTATGTGGACCAAGTCTACTCTCAGGGTTATAAGAGCCGAATGCTCACTCTGTCAGTCCGTACCTGCCTGTTTATTGCAGCAACAGCTTGGCATGAGAAGGATAGATAGCTTAAAATTAAAGTAGAAGCAAGAGCCATTAAATTAGCATCTTACCAAGAAGCCCCATCCATCATGCTCTAAAATTTTAAGAAATTTGTACTTCTTTGGTCTTATTTTATAAAACTCTATATCACGGTTCTCCATTAAGGGACTGATGACTAATACCTATTTACGTGTTTTATATTATGACCACAATAAGTCAGGGACCATCTAAGAATTAAGGTAAGGATTGCACATAGCACGAAGAATATAAATTCACATATATTCACCTCTTTCTAGATAATCAGATACAATTTTTCTGTGTTTGGCCTGTGCATTGATACTGTTTTATAAGTTCCCCCGTGAAGTTCTGATCTGCAGCCAGGAATGAGAACCACTGATATAGAATGAAAAAAAAAAAAATCTCGTATTAGTAGATCTATTACAAGTACATACACAGCAAAATTCTATCAAATTGTGGTTTCAGAACCGTATAAATCAGAACACTTGTTATGTAAAGTGCAAATCCACTGACTTTACACAAATCTAATGACTCAGAATTCTTGGATAGATCTTAAAATGGTCAATTTTGCCAAGTTTTTGAGATGAATACTATTCACACCAAATTTTTTGAGAACTACTAGGGGAGAGGGTTGGATATTTTGTAAAGACAGACTAAAAATGCACATTTATTTTATAGCTCCAAGTAGAAACTCTGCTCTGGTTTAACTTCTCAAGCCCCGATACTGTAGAGTGTAGACAAGCCCCTGAAGTTAATGTGGAAGATCTGCCCTTTATAATGAAACCACAAAGAAGAGCATTAGCATCAAAAGAATTAAAATGTAGATAGAAAGGGGAGCTTATAAGTGCAAAAGGAAAAGGGGCTAGCTAGACACACAGAACAAGCTGGAGCTCCATGTGGGTCACTGAACTAAATAGTTAGGGGAAAAAATAACCACTTTAGTTATAATATAGATAAGAGAATTGGCTGTATATCTATTTTATCCTTTTATTTATTCTTTGATAAACGCTGTTATCCTATGTACAGTTTCCAGCAAACCTATAGACTGTACTATGAGAAACTATTTGAAAGCACTATAGTTTATCTCATGCTAAAAAAATAAAGAGACAGCAAGAAATAGAGACAGGAAATGGGAAAGGGAAAGCTTACAATCCTCTCTTCCCAATCCTCATCCCAGCCACCAATCCTTATCAACTAAGCTCCATCCAAGGCACCATAAATATTTCTGCCATAGGAAATTGTTCTCCATGATGGACCCTTTTCTGCCCTGCATTTGGTGGAAGGTGTTTTCTCAAAGGTCTATCTCATTCACCCCTTTCTCAAAGGGGTGAATGTCACCCTGTCTATGCAATCATTTCTCAGTCTTCTGTTTTATATTGAAATTGATGCTTCTTTGTGCTTTATGTTTTTACTATACTATTGCTATTTTTCTACCACTCTTATTTGATTATATGAGCCCTGTGAGGCCAGAAACTAGGCATTCTTCATGATTGAATCTCAAATACCTACCATACGGCCTGTCACATAGGATGCTCTGCTCAGTAAATTATGGCACCAGTTTAATTCATTGAGTGTATCAGTCAGTGTTTTATTAGAGAAACAGATATGACACAAGAAATATAGACATATATACAAGATTGGCTTATGGTGGTTACCCACAGAGTCAGATAAGGAAGCGTGCAGAGGGCATCTGCACACTGGAGACTGAAGGCTTCAGTCCAACATCTGGAGTTCACTGTAGTGTCCCCTGCAAGTCCATAATCGGAGAGCGATGAATCTGCAATGGAAAGCTAAAGAGTCTACACAGGAAGACTGGAGGATCCATGCCGGAAGCCAAGGAGTCTGCACTAGAGAGCTGAAGAGTCTATCATGGAAGCCAAAGAGTGTGCTGGAAGCCCAGAGATGATGTCCAACCTGAATGTGAAGACTGGAGCTCCTCTGAAGAACAGAAGCCGACCCATCCTTCCTCATTTCCCATTTATACCATCCTAGCAATGAGCCATCCTAGGGTGGGTCTTCTATACCCTAAAGTGTAAAGTTGCTGAGGTAATTTAGTTAAACTTCTCTTAACTTCTTGACACACACAACCATTACATTAAGTAAATTCAGTTCATGAGTAAATCAACTATTTCTGTAGTATCAGCTAATACCATGCTCCTTCTTATACTTTATACACTACTTTGTGTTTGAGAAGGGAGAAAATGGAAGAATCAGAGATGAAAAAATATCAGAAAAGAAGGTTTTACATAGTCTTACCTGGCTACTGCTCTCTCGTGTATCAGAAGGCAAAACTATGGTAAATGAGGTAACAATCTCACAAGTACCAGGAGTTTCATCAAAACTATTAGTATTTTTGGTCCAGATTATTCACTCACCATGGACAAGAAGAAGGCTTGTGTTCCACTTATTGATGAGAAACCCAGAAATAACAACAATGTCTGCCATCTTTTCACACAACCATCTCAACCCAGGTTTCAGGATTTGCTGGAAAAAAATTACGTGGACAGTTTACATTTGATCTCAACTGCCTCTATCCTGACATTAAGGATGAAACTTATTCTCACGGTCCACAGCTTCCTCTCAGACTTAATCACAGGGATTAATTGCAAAGGATGCTGGATACCTTTCCCATGTGTGCAAGAAAGGAAGGAAAAACTGAATATGATAATGACTTCCACCACACCAGTACTTATTAAATAAGTATCATGTACTAAATACTGTGTGAGGAAACAGGAAAATAGCTGTCAGATTAAAGCAGTTACCTTTCTGCTTCTATGCTGATCATAAAATGATGAAAAGGAAATAAAAACTTTCCACTTGTACAAACCAAAAGCCTGATTTATCAATAAGATTCACATGAAATACAAATATTATCCAGCATCAAGCTTTACAGATAATTAGCAAAGGCTGTAAAAAGGAACATCCATGTAAATGCCCCACCACCCCCTGGCAGTCCTGAGCCCACACAATGTAGCCCCCTGTTTGGGCTCTGTGAAACATTTTGGTTCAGGAGTGCATGGCTTGGATCAGCACCAACAGACTTCCAAGTGCTGTGGTCCCTGGGTTTATATACCGTTATCTCACAGTTCACTTTTTTACTATGTAACTACCTTGCATACATCAGCACAGCCATATCTCATAAATCTATAAATAACAGATTCAATAACAACAAGCACGCCAGGCAGAGAGGTACATTTTGCTAAAGGAATTCTAAAAGTTTAGTAGATCAGCCATTGGAAGCTAGTCAGTTTCAGTATTGGTATTTTCAGATAAGTGCAGTTAGAGTTAAAAGAAAAACTGCCTAGGGGGTTCTCCAAGAAGAAAAAGAATTACAGACCTACTGTTTACTTTTTCTTTTAAAACACCTGACCCAGTGATTAGCCAAAGAAAACCAAATGTACCCACCATGGTGAGGGCCCAAGAGAAAAGCACATGTTGTTCTGAAGGAGGACTCTGACATTTTAAAGAAGTCAGAGAAGGTCTGGACAAGAAAGTGATGTTTGGACTGAGCTCTGCAGAAAGACCAAGGGTTACGGAGAGAATGCTCCAGGCAGAGGAAGTAGCATGAGGTTTGGGAATAAGCTCCCCTGTCTGAATAACAAAGATATTAGTCAGAGTGGACTATGGGGAGCAAGACAGAGGTGGGCGGGGCAATTCCCGAGAGGCCTGAAGAACATGGGAGGGACAAGAGAGGTTAGGGCTCTTTATCTCAGAAGCAAAGAGAAGAACTTAAAAATAGCTTTAACGGGGATGCATGGAGGATGGTGTGCTCGCTGGAGATGGGACAGAGTGGATATAAGTAACTGGGTTAGATAACTACTGCAGACATCTGAGCAGATAGCAGACAACGGGGTGAAAAAAGATGGTATGCTGCAGTTAAGGAAAACGGTTGATTCATGGGATGATTAGGAAGAAAACGTGGCTAGAATTGGCAGTGGGTTGGATATCAGTACAGAGAGCTATTAACAATATCTCAGTGACGTGTGTGACTGGATGATACCATTTCCTACCACAGGAAGCAATACGACCAGAAGACGTGTGGGCCACTGAGAACCACAAAGGGAGTAATTGGGCTTCACACTCAGGCAAGCTTGGTCCAGTTGCAGGTTGAGGTTCTTCAGAAGGCTCCTGTGAAAAACAGATAGGGAACTCCCTTTAAAACAAAGAATATATGGAAAGGAAATGAAGGGCAGTTTTCAGAACAACATCCAACTGCTCAAACAGGAGTGAGAGAAAATAAAAACCGAGGAGTCACTGAAGCAGCTGTTTTCACAGTATTGTCTCTTCAAGCAGCTAGGAACTACTGCAAAGAAGAAAACGGGAGTCGGACTGGCGCAGGGTAGGGAAAGCAGAGACTGAGGGAGAGGAAAAATTAGAGGACAGAGTCATCTGTTACAATGGGTGCTATGTGATGAGACATTCAACATTAAGAGATACATTTGTCTTATATAATTAGGAAGTTCCTTTAATAATCAATCTCAGAGAAAGAAGGAGCTAAGAGCATGAGTGGAAGGAATTGTCCCAGCACTTTGACAGAGCTTGGTCGTACATCAGTTCTAGCTCCTCAGCTGTTATTTCACAGCTGCGTGACTCTGGGCAAGTGTTTGATCAATGTGTGCCTCATTCATTCACCTTTAAAATGGAAATAATAATAACTTCCCTGCCCACAGTAAATAAAATAAAATAATATATGAATACAGTTTGAAAGATGTACAGCAGTTTTATATTTAGGTACTATAATCATGTATATGTATATATGTATAATATTGGACTGTTGCTAGTAAATACAATGATTAATTCTCAGAAAAATCAGCCAACACCCTAACAAAAAGCTGAGAGAGACATGCACAGTACACTAGTCTCCGGTATGAACAGAGAAGGGCAAACCACAGTGGGAACTCTGTGTAAAAAGGCAAAGTCAACACTAACTTTTAAGTTCTGAAAGGTTTTACTGGAAATGGCATATGCAAGATGATACAACATTCAAGAGAATGACAATCATGGAATTATCTTGTGAAAAATAAAATCCCAGAGGAGGGGACTTCCAAGTTTTTCTTTCTTTCCCGATTGTAGTTGACTTTTGTTTGTTTTTAAGGTGTAAGACCTGAGACTGCACTGTGCTCCTTGTACATTGTGTAGAGCAAATATGTGGTGACTGTTTTTTACTGTTCTCTTTTCTTTTGTGGTACCGGGGATTGAACCTGGGGCCTTTGCACTGAGACACATCCCCAGTCTTCTTTTATTTTGAGTCAGGGTCTAGCTAAGGTATTAAATTGCCCAGGCTGAACTGAAATTTGCGATCCTCCCGCCTCAGCTTCGCAGGTGTTGGGAATGCAGGTATGTGTCACCATTACTAGCTTTTTGCATCTGCTTTTATCTACTGACATTCCCTTGGAGGCTGCAGGAATAAATACATAGATGGCTGATTCTGGGAACTGTCGAGGATATGAGAAAAATGAATGTGTCACATAAGAGCAGTGGGAATCTTCCAGAAAGTGTGGGGAAAGAACACCTAAACACCTGTGCACCTCCATTCCATCTTTTCTAGGATTCACTAGCTCTCCATTTTTTTTTCATTCCTGAATTTGGGGTACAACTTATAAATCTATTAAATCTAATGTCAGATATCTTGCACACACACATGCACCCACACACACACCAAAAAAGTGTTGTTAAACTAGTACATCTGTTAGTGAGGAAATACAATACACTAAGTTCAGGGAGATCATAGTTGTTTTTTTTTTTTTTTTTAACAATCTTGCCAGTAAAATAATAATAGTAATAATTCTTTTGCAAAAATACTTCGAGTTTTGAAGTACACTATTTGAAAGATCTTGTTAAATATCTAGCAAGTACTAGTCTTATGCTAGAGCAGCCAGCCCACGGGCTCCTGGAGGAGGGTGTAAGGAAGCCAGCCCACCCAGAAAAGCCTTTGCACCTGGGTGCCCCTGGATTTCTTTCGCCATCCACCAAGGAACTTGCCCCAGAGCCAGGTCACTGCAGTGAAGTTCAAGGTTAAGTGGAAGATTAAGAGTAGAGCCCTCAATGGGGATCTCAGATATAGGAAATAAAATTTGGTTTTCATATCACAGCATTTAGGATATGACCTCGGCATTTGCCAGGGCTTCATGGACTGAAATTCAATCTCCACTGTGAGGAATTAATTGATCATTTTTCCGATGGCTATTAAGACCGATTAGGTTTTCTATAGTACAGTTTGGTTGGATTGTCTTATAGAAATGAGACAACAACAAAAAGCCAAAAAGGGAAAAGAGCACATCTTAGTTCTTTTTCACTGGTTTCCCTGTTTTAAGAGCCACTCCATTACATCCCATAACCCAGGAGTTGAGTCTGGGTTGACTTTTAACTGTTGTATTGCCCAAATTAATAAATACTGAGTCTAAAGTTTCTCTGTTTATTTTTCCCTTCAGTTATTTTTCAGGTATTGTCTATGAAATAAGCTGAAACAGCATGGGGCCCAGATAAGAGAAATTACAAACCAACATATCAAAAATGTATTTTATAAAATTATTTCTTTTACTTCACACGAAGAAATGAAGGCATTGCAGAAAGTAGTTGATTTAGTTACCTTATGAGCAAGGCTGCTAGCTAGTGGAAGAACCAGAGATAGAATGGGGTGACCAACCACACTGATAAAAATTAAAAATAGACAAGTGAACTGGGACTTTGACCAGGAATGAACACTACTCAGACAACACGGAATGTGACCCTCTCTCTCAAAGAGAGGCACCACCACCTGCTGAACTCCTGAATCTTAAGGAAAGTAAAATATAATGAAGTACATGAAATACAGCCCACTCCCTCCTTAGGATTTTTGAGGTAATTATAATGTAAAATAACTATTTCCCTCTAAGATTTCAATTTATTACAAACACTATGTGAAAGAACTGGGTTAGAAATTGAGTCTCAACTGATCATTTTAAGTCCACAGAACCATATATGACAGCTGGCTACTAAACAACTGAGCAATTCCTGTGCTCTGTTTATCTACACTGTGATCAGCTCTGGATCAGAGGCCGTGTGGCTCCTGATTGGAGACTCCTGGAAGTCCAGGAGACTTCTAGTCTCCTTCTCATTTCAATCACCCCTTTTCATTCATGACTTCATATCTTGGCATTTGCCAGGGCCCAGTACACAATCAATATAAAAAGTGTACTGAAACAGATTATTTGAATTTTATAGTTTAACAGTATATTACTGTGTGCTTTTTATTTTTTTTTGGTTTTTCTCCGGTACTGGGAACCGAACTCACGACCTTGCCCTTGCCAGGCAGGCGCTTTTGCCGCTGAGCTAAATCCCCAGCCCCTACTGTGTGCTTTTTAATATTGATAAAAAACAAGCTTCTTGAATGCTGTTCTGACTCATGTAATTTCAAAACAAAAATTCTAGAAGGACATTCCAGCATGCTCCCTCATAATTGTTAAAATAGGTATTAGTGTATCTAGTGATACTACCAATGGAGTCAAGTTTCTCTGATTTTTATTGAAACATATCACAAGAAGACTCATTGAAAATGAGACATCCTCTGAATGACCTAGGTAATGATCCATACAAAAAAGAAAGAAAAAGGAAATGAGATTGGTTTATAAAACAATGTTCTAACCAAATTCCTACCGAACTTGCCTGTCTTCATGTCTCTTGATGATCATACTCATCCCATTATAGCTATGCATAGGGCACCAACTATGCAAGGATCAGGAAACCACCTCATTTTAAAGCAGGATTCTTACTAGTGAAGATAAAACATAAAAATGATTGCCAGCTGGAGTCATGTCAAGATGAAATCATATTTCTTCTATCAAAGAGACCATAGGAGGAAATAGTGGAACTTTTGGGAAATTTAGCCAACAGCTTTCACTCAGTAAATGTGATGTAAAGTCATAAATTTGAAGTGTGAGAGGTGGAAGAGTCATTTTAGAAAAGGTACAGGAGCTTTAGGAAACCCTCAGAATATTTCAAAATGAAATGTGTCCAAGCACATAAAACTCCTGCTGCCAGGACTATTTGTTGCTAAAACTTAGGAAAAGAGAGAAAAAAAAAAAAGTTATCAGCAGCCAAGTAAATACTATCAGAGCACTGTGGTGAGATTAGAGTCTTAGCCTAAGATCCCAGACAGACCAGGAAAGAATATTCCAAATATTATCCTTTTCCCCTTGACTATGAAAGAATATTAGAAGTAATCGTCCACTTCTCCCTTTGGTTCACAGAAGAAACTTAGATATCAAGTTGATCCCTATTCATAGAAAAATCTAAGTTACCATTGCATTTTCATTGGCTTGAAAAAATGATGCTCAGAACCATCTGGCTGAAATTAAAGTTCAGGTCTCTGTTTGTCCCAAAGTTGAGTGACTGTTAATCTTCTGATTTCAAGCAAAATTATAATCAGACACTGAAGAGGTTCATCAAAATCTATTCTCTAGGTTTTAAGTTACACATTTTAGATGTCTATTATAATTATTTGACAAAGAAATCTACATATATAGCTAGCTCTTTAGACATCTCGTTTCACCTACTGCATATTAGAACACTCTGTATTTGTTCAGACATTTTGGCTGTACAGATGGTTCATAATTCATAATGGAAAGGGGAAAAAGATTTGTCAGTTTTCATTTCAACCTGTCTTTTTATATGTCTTGAGGATATATAACATTCCCAAATGTTTCACAGACAAAAATTTGATATTTTTGTGCTTTTTCTTCTCAGCTGCTCATTTTATATTTAATGTTTGAGCCAAATTCATCCCCCTCCTACTCAGTGGAGCAGAACTCTCAAGCTTCTCTTGCCTTGAATATTTGCGTCAATCCAAAATTGTTTCTTGGGGAAATTTTTTTGTTCCTGTAACAATCCCTGGACCTAACTTTATTTAGGATGGTGACCTTCCCTCTTGTAAAAGTGCATAGTTCATTATTTATCAAGTCACTCCATTTGGATTTCAAGCCATGCTTAGTGCTAGAAGTTTTCTTTTATCAAGCAAAACTCAGACAAGAAGTCATTGGTTGTTTTCTGACATTGGAAGCCAAATTCTACCGGTCTGTTCCCTTCTATCTACAAGTACAAGCTTATGCTGCTTAATGGTGCTTCTGTCAATAATGGAACATGTACACAAG